GGGGGGGGGGGGGGGGGGGGGTCGCGAAAGTCTCAATGGTGAGTTAAGTCTATCTCTATTTGGAGCGTTCATTTGCTACCTTTAACGGTATTGCAGTGGCTGCAAGATTTAAGAAGAGCATATATAATGAAAATTCGAACAGCTGACCCGGTGCGGCAGTGGAAGCGATTTTATACATTCTCTGCTTACTGTTATGAGCTCATTATGCAAATGCACACAACTGAAATTTTCGAGGGTCAACTTGCTCGATTCCCTGGCGTAAGCAAGGCCCCCGACCTTAGTTAATTTACGGCGCTCGAAACTCCCGGTTCTGCCCAGCTCTTGCATGTACCGGAAAACTTTAACTGAAGTCCTTTCCACAATACCCCGAACGACAGTAAGCTCATGACCGTAAGTCAAAGCACGAAGAACCATTCCCTCCTCGCATCGACAAAGTTCTTTGAAAAATGTGGGATTCTGGCCACGTTGCAGAGCTTATATTTATGAACTGAAGAGGGATGCGCTGGACACTCCGGGCTTTGATTTGATTGTATCAAGAACCTTCTTCAAATCGACGAACGTAGAATTAACGGCATCTGGTACTCTCGCAACAATTCATTCTTGCCATCCAAGTTCCCTTCGGAACCGTACTCACTCTCAGGGCTGCTTTTCATCAAGCGTTCTGCCAATCCTGTTGAAGTTGGGTGGTTTGAAGAGTTTGTAAGCAACAACTTTAGGCAGATTGGACATTAGCTGCCATGATCGTCTAGTTCTACCCTCTTACACAGCAGCACAGTCTTGCTAGTTATACGAAGGGGTTACCCTGCGTTTCGGTAAGTATCGTGCTAAGAGTCGAGACTGGTTCTCACAAAAACCAACAAAAGGCTTTTCTCCAATCTCATCCGAAATATACGTTGTTCAGTTCTTCACGGACGTAAAGACAAGTCGGAATTCGGGAAGAAATAAGTGTGGTATCGAGGAGGCGATGGCTCGATCCGGGTAATTTGGATTAACAGCGGTGT